GCATCGGACGGAATGGTTGTGCCCTTGGCGATGAGGACGAGAAGTTGGAGCGCGACACGGACGCAGTCTGTGTACGGGATGAGGAGCGTCGATTTCAAGGCGCTGAACGGCTCCGGAGACCTGAGAATTGCGTAGACCACGGGAAGGATGAGCAAGTGTTGATTGAATCCACTGTGAGGTATAGTCGTCTGCGACAGATACCGTTGGAGTTCACCCAAGTCGTGCAGTACTACGGCAGGCTGCGCCAGGTTTTCGCGACAAGCCCTCTCGGCGGAGGCCTATAGTAGGAACGATACCTGTAAGCAGAGAGCCGCACACGGTTGTGAAATGATTCAGACCCGAATTTTGGGCGGAAGCCCATTTAGGTTGTCAATGTCGAGACAAGGATGCATTCGGGGATCGAGGTACAAAGCAAAAGGGAAGAAAAAAGTAACGTCACGCCTTCTTCGGGGGGAGGGGGTGTCACGATGCGAAGTCCGCGGCCAGCCGGTGGAGGTCGCATGCATACGTGAAATTCAAACAGCAATATAACGAGCGAACGTACGAGTTTTTAAGAGACTGTTCGGCTGCCAGGTTCTGTTTCCAAATCCTGTTTCCATTTTCCTTATTCAGTAAGCCGTAAGCCTTGGGATCTTTTCCGCTAGTTCCTGCCAGGAACCAGGGTGCAAAGGATCCCCAGGGGTAGAGGTAAACCTCCAAAGGTCAGAGGTAAGGTCAATGGAGGTAGAGGTAGAGGTCAGCACATTTTGAAACCTCTCAAACCTCTGTCCCACCTTGGGAGGGCCAGAGGTATACAAAGGTACAGCAAATACCACCTCTGGAAGCTGTTTTCTCTACTCTTGATATGGCTTTGGAGATCCTATCAGCTGTTTCAAGCTGTCTCAAAATCCTCAGGTCAAAACATGCACTTTTGGGCCTCCAAATCCTCATCAGACCTCCATCTCCAAGTCATGTGACCTTGGTTGGGGAAGTAACAGGGCTGTTTTTCCTGTATAGCCAGTGATATATAAAGACTAAATCAACTAATTAGGGCCAGATAACCTCACATATAGAAAGCTGAAGATATTCTGGCAGTATGGGGCCTTACAGAGTGAAACCTTTGAGAGATATACCTTTAAGGTATGACCTTTCCAGACCTCCACCATACCTTGGAGGTTTTAGAGGTAAGGTAGAGGTCTACCTCCCAGAGGTTAGAGGTTTTGGAGGTAGGGGTAGAGGTCAGTGCTCTGATACCTCTACCTCTACCCCTGGTGAACCTTACAGGGTGCTCATTGAAATTTGACCTACTCTTGAATGCAGCTGTCTGGTATCGGGATCTCGCGCGCTAATAAGTTAAACAGCGTCGTCGATGGGCCGACAGAAGTCAAGATTATATATTCCAAAATCTTTCAACCAGTTTCAACCCCTAGATAGCGCGGACTTGGCGCGGATGATCGTCTGCCATTCAATGTTTTCCACCAGGTACGCGATGGCTTGATTCGAGGCTCAGCTATTTCAGGCGATTTTGTATGATGTTCCAAACGTTGCAAAAATCAAATCCGAAGAAAACTTTCAGGTACGGAAAGAAACTTTCAGTTGCGGAATAAAATCTTGGGGCAGCTGATCGTTTGAATTCAAATATCGAGGAAGCCACATCTTTTAACACTACATTCAGGCCATATAAGGGATGAGAATTTCTGGGGACGCGGTCTTTGGTGCCGGGACCGTCTTTGCCAAGAGCTCGACCATTCGAGTGACTTGGACTTCTTTTCCTCTTTTTCCGAAGTAGCGCTCACTCTGTGTCGATTATCAGAATAATGACGCCGCAGCGACATAGATGGACGACGGACCTCAAATGACCAAACCTCGTTAGCACGGACCTGTCGAAATATTGCTGAGCAAGGGTATGAGGAAGTGTGGCAGGTATTACCCAGTTGCCAATCCCGTGAATAAACTGTGTGACTTGACGATCAAGGTCGGGATCGCTGTAATGGGGAACCTGACTGAAAGCGAGAAGGAATTTTTCCACGACTCTATCGTGGAGGCCGGAAATCCATTCGAGTGCCCCCGCGAGGTCAAGATGGAGGGAATGCATAACGACCGTCACCAGGTTATGATCGTCACTCCGGGCCTGCCTGAACGACGTTAAGTGATAGTATTTGAGGAGTCAGACAAACTAACTCGACATTGTAAGAGCACAAGTCATTCACGACGATCACCATGTCGACGCCCCCGAGGATGAGTGCCGCAATATGTTCGTTCTGCATAACTTCGTCTGGGATGTCCATCCCGATCTCGATCATGGCAAACGTCGGTTTAACCCCACATGTATTGCGGCGAAGGTCAAAAAACTCGTCGATTCCGTCGATGTAGTGCTCAGTACGATCCTGAGCTTCTTCAACCACCGCGTCCATGTACATCTCGAATGAATCGATGAAATGGCGCTGAAACGTTGGGGTAGCGATACAGAGGGCATTCAACCAGAACCTGAAATTCGTCACAATTCAGATGAGTGTATGACACAGAAATATGGGTGGGCGATGCCTACTGGCGAGCAACTTCACCGCCGATCCATTCGCATGGCGGCCGATCCATATGTGGGTTTCTGAGAACATCCATGAGAACGTTTGCTTGGTCCCTGGCTCCCGCCGGATCGGCTATATCGGTATAGTGGTCTATCACAAAGAATAGATTCATCAGATCGCAGCCGACTCTGCAGGCATCTGGAAGAGAGGAAATATTGACCAGCTTTTCTTTATGCGCAGGCAGTTGCTCACCTTTGTTATGGAGCGGGTAGCCCAACGAGGCCAGGAGGTCTGACAAATTTGAGCAAGATGAACACTCCGCCAGAAATGAGAAACGGGACCCACTGAAATCACAAAGGTTAAATGCTTTCTGGGCCTTCGGGCTGAAGGCATGGAACTTTTCCAACCATGCCACTGACTCCTTCTTGCACACCTCGTAATGAGGATTGAGGTGGCGGGGCCAAGGCCAGTTGCTCAGCATGTCTGGGAGGCAGAAATGGGTGGGTTCAACAACTTTGGAAGGCATGGCTGGATTATCGTCGAGGTGAATTCCAAGCCACTTTTATCTCATTCGTTTCCTATACGTAAGGCTGCACCGGCCACCTATTTCTTGAGAGACCCACTTGATTTCATCCGGATAAATCTGGCCTAGTCTTGCCGTCATACGGCATGTTAGCATAGGATTTTGACGAAGACTCGGGAAGAAGTGGATCACTTCGAGTGGATCAAGATTACCGCGAAGCCATACTCGGATCACGGGTGGCGGTGGATGTACCATTTCTTTCATTGGACCCAGCTCAAAAAAGTTCAACACCCGGAGGTGGGTGGGAACTGATCCCGTCCGGGCAATGAACGACATAGCATCAGGAGATATGTTGGAGGACGGAGGGAATTTAAAGGCCAGTCGTCGCAAGGCTGGAGCGACGATGTAATCCAGAAGGGTCCCGACATTCCCTCTAATATCCAAAGATACAAGATTAGGAAGAGTTTCTGGGCTAACGAGGGGTTCTTGGCGCATGTGAAAGTAATGGAACGAGGGCTCGACGGTGTTGGAGGCCGCTCGAAGGACATTGAGCATGTCAGATACTCGGGACCACTGATGCGACAAATGCAACTTCTTGATCTGTGACAACGGCAGGCTTTCGAGTTGCGAGAGGGAAGTATCGGAACCCAAGTGGCTGTTGGGAGGAACTTCATAACGAAGTTCCTTCAGAACGGGCGTAGACACGAATATGTTCGAAAATAGGCATTCACAGTTAATCACCGAAAGACTGAGTTTCGTCAATTGAGAGAAAGAGACGACACCATGGTTTAGGAAGTACGGAATATCCCTAAAATCGAGAGCAAGGCTGAAATCCGGCCAGCGGTGCGCTACAGGAAGTAAAACCTCGAAGATAAGGTGTTTTTCAGTTTCACCGAGGTTTCTTCTGGAGAGACCGATGGCGAGAGGAGGGTAATCTGAAAAACATAACGTGAGCGCAAGCATAGAGTACTTGGTGAACTTATTGGTTACTCAGTCATGGTCGACTCGGAGGACTGGAGCCGAAAGTCTGACGCATCGCGTCGGACGAACGGTATACGAGGACGCGTAGCCGGCGAGTTAGATCGGCGGGCGGCCCGGGTGTGCTGAGCTCGACCCGTGCGAAAAGATGCACTCGAGTGCGGAGGAGAAGGGTGCTCCCAGCTGCGGCGCAAGCCGTAAGCGTTTTACGGCTGTCCTTGCTCTCGTCGACAATTTTTTCGAGAATTTCAGTGGGATGGGTGGCAAGTATTGTGATGGGCGGAGGAAAGACACCGATACGGGCCCACAAAGGTTAGGCAACTCCGTGATTACCGTCTCGTTGAACCGAGTTGACCGTTGCATGCTGTAAATATGGAATTATGGGTGAATGGTTTCGGTGAGGCGTAAAAATTAGAAATTACCCATGGCGAGGAGCATATTGGTTCGAATGCGGGTGTATTGACTACTCTGGCCGGGGAGATGGTGTACGATATCGGTGAGGATGAGCATCCCTAGCGTGCGGCGCAGCCAAGTTCACCAAGAGCCTGGAACACGTCGATTTTCGCCAGGCGCTCCGCGACAGCCCAATGTTTTCCACAATCGCGGATCTCGAGCGCTGCAAACTGCAGTCGCCTTTGCTGAGCAGTCAGTGATGCTCTGTACTGCTCATTTTAATTGATCTTTCGGCACGCAGAAAGTATGTAGTGCGTTTCCCCTAGGTTCAATAGTTGAATCATGATTGCCAGCTGAGAAAAGCAAAGAAAGAAAAAAATATGTGCATCCCTGAAGCCCCAGATGGCAACGTGGCCGAATGCAGAAGGGCGCGGTCGACGCCAAAAGCCAGTAGAGAACCATATCAGACTCGAGTGGAGAAAGCGGTGGTATGGCTGAGATACCAACTTGAAAAGCACGGATCCGGAGCGAGCGCTCGAAGACGTGATTATCGATCCATCTATTTGATAGAAGAAGAAAAAAAGCATTTCTGATACTGGAGATGGCTTAAGCCTGAATCGAACAGGCGTCCCCCGCGCTACGGCAGCAAGCAATGAACGAGTCGCAGGTGTGTTGACCGCTACACCATCAAGCCGATACCAATACGCAGATTCGAACGAATGATGGACTTCGGCAGACATCGGGACACATCGACCATAGCCGGTTACAGTGAGAGTATCGCAGAATACAGAGCCCAGCTCGAATGCAGAGAGTTGTGTCGTGGCCGTCGAGGAACAAAAAGGACGGCAGCTCTTTGGCCGAGCACAGCCACCTCCCACCAAAGGACGCAGCTCAAGACGACCAATAAATTCAAAATCCAAGATCCAAGATCCAAAAACGCGCATTATAACGACGCAATACAAGAGATAATACAATATGTGAAGCCACGACTAAAACGATGGTGGGTACGGTATCTAGAAGATGCGGGTGTACGAGGAGTAAGAAGATGCGGGAGGTACGCAACGCGACGCGGGGAGGAAGATGCGGGGAACGAAGAGCGAAGAGGAAGAGAATGTATGTGTGTATGAAGGAGAATGTAATGCAGATATGTACACGGGTGTGTAGAAGCAGATGTATGTATCGCGCGCCGGATGGATGGGTGTGTACGGACGGCGGGCGGACGGATATCGCAAGACGATGTATAGTACAGTGGCTGTGATTGTGAGTGGTGTAGGAGGGTGGGAAGGACGATGGAGCAGAGCTGGATTTAAGTAAGGTGCTCTTCGTGGACGCGTGCGGGTGCGTTGAAGGATGGATAGGGACGCGAGATGGGGGAGGATGAGACGCGCGGGACGAGTGCAGCGCTGGTAGGCGGGTGGAGGTTGTCCAATAACCGCGAGACCAGGGGCGACGGTGATATGGAGACCTAAACCGACGGACGATCAGCAAATGCATACAGCACGCAAACAGACGCACCCACCATCAAGCCGCGCACTCGCCCTTTCACCCACATATATCACCGCTCAGCGTGAGGAACGCGCTCAAACAGCCACGCCCCCTCCCCCACTCAAGGACGTCACCCCCTTCAGCACATCCACCAGCGCCCCAAATGCCTTTCTCCCCCCCTTGCCCATCACCCCGCCCGAGCCCGATCCGGGGCCCGAGGAAGACGTCGAGGTCGAGCGCAGTCGCGCGAAGGACGACGCGCGGCGCAGGCCTTGTTGCGGGGGCGGCTGCAGCGACGTAACATTGGTTAACGTAGCGGACCTGGCGGGCGGCTTGGGGGTGGTAGGCGAGGTGGACGAGGTCGACGCGGACTTGGTTCGTGAGCGGGTGGGGGTGGTAGCAGCGGCGCTGTCGCTCTCGGAGGAAACTAGAGAGGGTGGATTGGCGCTTCTTCCGGGTGGAGCGGTGGTGGACGACGAAGCAGTGGGCGCCGAGGTAGAAGACGACGAGGTGGACGCCGGCGCAGACGCCACGCGCAGGTGGCTGCTCTTCCCCGCGTTAGCAGTGAGATGCACATCCTCCGCATACGACCTCGGCGCGAGCGCAGGCGAGTACGGCCCCGCAGCCAGCACGCTCGTCGCAAGACGCGCCAGCACCGGAAGCGGCCTCTCAAGATCGCGCCCCTCACCCTCCGCATCGGAACTCGCACTCTCCCGATCGCACGACCCCTCCCTCGAGCCCGCCCGCGAGCCTTCGCGCGAGCTCGAGGACGCACTGGAATCGCACTCGCGCTCGTCCCCCGGCGGAAGGAGCAGCCCCCGTGCACACTTCGCCATCGGCACCCCTTTGTCTCCGCCGCTCGGCTCCCGTTCCCTCTCCCTCTCAGCCCTCTCGCGCTCCTCCCGCTCGCGCCTCCCCGTCGACCCTAGCGCCACACACACCGCCTCCGACCGGCTCTTCTCCCTGTCTCTCGGCGAAAGCGGAGGCGACGAGGCATCGCGCTCCCTCGCAGCGCCCGTCAGCGCCGCAGGCAGGAGCGCCCCCGCCTTCGGGCTCCCCCTGCTCAGCCGTTTTGCGTTGACATTCACGCTCCCATCGCTACTCAATCGCTTTGCAGTGACACCTGTACCCCCGTCCGTGCCCAGCTTCGCGGCGGCGCCAGAGGGGAGGGTGACGCTCACATCGCTCGCGCTCGCCGCGGGACTCGCTTGGGGCGTACCGCGCGGCGTGTCCCGCGGCGTGCTATTGCGCGACCCGGAGGAGGCGGAGGGGAGGGGGAAGAGCTCCGCGTCGTCGTCGTCGGCGTAGGCGCGGACGGGAACGTTCGGCGTCACTGAGCGGCGTCTCGAGAAGGACGGCGGGATATTGGTGGGCGCGGTGTACCCAGTGGGGGGTATCGGGTGGTTGCCGGCGGTGGGAGACGTGTACCCAGCAGGCTTAGGCGCGAAATACGACGTGTGCGTCGCGCTCACACCATCATACAGAATCTGCGGGGAAGGCGTCCGTGGGGCCTTGCCCTCCTCTTCCGCGTCCTCCTCCTCGTCTTCCTCGCCGAGCACAATCACCCCGCCCACCCCGCTGAAATCGCCACCACCGGCAGCAAGCGCCCCAAACTCCCCGCTGCGCCGCCGCCGCTCCTTATCCACCTCGTCCACCGCAATGCCGAGCGGGAGGAGCGGCGACACGCGCCCAGAACCGGCGTACGGCGGGGTATTGTGGTGGCTGCCGTGCGCGCTCCCAGGCTCGAGGTGCGCACCATACACACCCGCCCCATGCCCATGCCCATCCGCAATCTTCGCGAGCGCGGACCCCAACTGCGACGGCGACGCCCGCCCCTCCCCCTCTCTGCCCTCTCCGCCCGATCCCGCAAACGCCGGACTCGGACTGACCCGCCCACTCCCACCCGTGAACGCCCCCAAATACGTCCCATACGTCGGCGTAATGGGCGGCGTCCCCCCAGGGCTCGCGCGCGGACTCGGCGTCGCGCTCCGCCTGCGCTCGAGCTCCGCAACGAGCCGGTTCACCTCCGTCACGCCCGTGCCCGACATCAGCGCGTTCCCGCTCAGCCTCTTCTCCGCGTTCGCTGTTGCGTTCAAAGTGTGCTCGGTACCCCCGGGACCCGTGTACGCCCCCGTGCCCATGCCGGGGTAATACCCAGCGCCAGCGCCCACGCCCGAAGGCGAGGTAGGCATATCGAGGAACCCGCCCCTCCTCGCCGCGTCGAACAGCCCGTCCCCCTTCCTATACCCCCCGCACCTATTCCACCAGCGACACCGGCGCCGACACCGAACATCTCCGCGCGCCGCCGCACGCGGAGGGCGCCGCGCGAGAAGAGCTCCTCGACGACCTCCATCTTGGCGTTGGCGGCGCACTCGGGGCAGCATGCGCGGAGGGGGACGACTATGCGTGCGGGGCAGGCGGAGGCGGTGGGGATGGTGGGCGATGTGCGCGGTGCCAAGGCGGGCGAGGCGCGCGCTGCGGACGAGGACGAGGCGGAGGCAGAGGCGCGCGCGGTGGCGGGCGAGACATCGCGCGTGCGCGTGGGAGACACGGACGGCGCGGGGCGGGGCGACACGGCGGGGGACGCGCTCGAAGAACCCGGCGCTTTTGAAGACGCCAGAGGAGGAGAGTGGCCCTGGGTGGCACCGGTGGAAGTAGAAGTAGGAAGAGGGGACACAGCCGAGGTGAACACTGCGTGCAGCGTGGGGAGGGGCTTCAGCGTCAGCGTGGCTGGTTGTGTGCCTAAGCTTGGTATTGAAGGGGGGGTGTCGCCGTCGCCGTCGCCGGTGGGGGTGTGGCCGAGCGAGGACGTGGACGCGTGTGCGCCCTCGTTAGAGGGAGCACCGGAGTTCGCATTCGCATTATTAGATGTAGCCGCCAACGCAGCCGCGATCGACGGCGACCGCAGACACGACGGCAGGGGCGGCGTCGCAGGCGGCGGGGAGCGCGAGGCGTTGCGCCCGTCGCGCCCTCGTTCGCGGGAACGCGATTGGGAGTGCGAGGAGGAGGAGGATTTTTTGCCGGATTTGAAGCTGAATTGAGGAAAAGTGAAAGAAAGGAATTGTTAGTTGGATGCGAGATGGGAGGGATGGAAGGTATGGAAGAGGAAGGGGAAGGGAAGGCAGGATACGGAGGGAAGGGGAGGCAAGTCAAGTAGAAAAAAAAACAAGAGAAAGAAAAAAGAATTAGTATCGAATAAAAAATCGCGGGAGCGCGGAGCCTTATCGCAGAGCAAGGGTAAAAGGGCGCTCTCCTCATGTCTGCCACAAGACCAAACCATCCCGACCGGCGGCCCACTTCCTTCCTTCCTTTCTATCTTTTTTTCCTAATATGAAAAAGTAGGCCGCCCGAAAAGTACGGCACCCGAATCCCGCGGGTCATGCAAGTCCCAAAGAAGGATAGACGGCGATACGAGCCCAACCCGGACGCTATCTCCCGTCGCACCATCCGCCGCCGCCACCGCGAAAAAAAAATGAAATGCAAAAAAAAAATGAATGGAAAAAAAACGAATGGAAAAAAAAAGAGGAAAAAAACCGAAACGAATTGAAACAGCGGTGACGGTGACGGCGACGAGACAGAGACATAGACATAGAGGGGAACCAAATTTGTCAAGACAACCTGCAACGCAAGCGGGGAACCCCTCCCCGCTCCCCCTGCGTTGCATTGATAAATGCGCAAATGCGCCCCTCTCCGACAATGCGAAACCGAAACCGATATCCGCGCCCCCGAGTACGCCGTACGCCGCACGCCGCACAATCCCCACGCCATCGGGCGGGCGCCCGACTCCCGCCGTACGCAATTGGGCCGCAAAAGTCAAAAGAAAAAGTGAGGATAAGCATAAGCCCCCGCCTCGAGCCCCGCCAAAAGCAAAAGATCTGCGAAAAGATCGCCGCGCCCCGCAAAGCTGTGTCCCGCCCACCCTCGGCAAATATCCCCGCCCGCCTTGGATATCCCCATCGAGGTGTCCCATTCTCGCCACAATAGAGTGGGGATGCGACACTCCCATCGCCATCGCCATGTATACGGACACAGATGCGAAATGCGTACGACATCCCCAATTCAGTACGGCGCGCGCGCAACTCCGCGATCCCGCATCCCCATACAGCGCGCAAAGTCCCGAAATAAAGAAGAGCGCGCTACCATGCAGACCTGAGACAAGTGCCACGCGAAATCTGCGATCAAGGAAGGAAGAGGAACGGAATCAAGGAA